ATTTAATAAATATTAAGCCTTTAACAGGGTTCTCACTAAAGCGAGTCCATGAGTCCTAGACTCATGAAAATCTGTCTGGACTCACCATTTTCAAAACTGGTGAGTCCAAAGATGCATCAAGATTGAAATATTTTGTATAAACTGAACACATGTATCATCATTTTATAGCAAAAGTTCAAAAGAAATTTGAATTTCATTTCTCTATTAGGTCATGGAGACTAAAATGATAAATCATATTGCAATAAAATATCTTCTTCTTACTGTTGGACTCACCATGGGCAAAAATGACGAGTCCCTGGACTTGCCTTCAAAAATCCTTAGTGAGAACCCTGCCTTTAAATAACTTAAAATTATTGAACAACTGGGCAAATTTTAGAAAGTTTGGTAAACATTAAAAAAATTCCATCAAAAGTACTTCATGAAAGGGCAGACTAGAAATTTCAGAAGGTGGATTTAAAACAAAATAAATGGGGAATATGTCCATGGGACACAGATGATGACCCCGTTTGCATATCATATAAAGTCATAAAGGGACATAACTGACGAAATGTAAAAGTGATGCTACCAAAATTTGTACTTGATCTGAGTTTTGGTGTCATAAGTATTGTGTATAAGTTTCATAACATTTGGTTGAGGCTAACTTAAATTAGAGAACTGAAACGAAAAATTCATCAATTTTTCCATTTGTATAGGGACATAACTCTAGAACAGTAAAAGTGACACCACCAAAATTCAAACTCGATCTGTATTTTGTGGTAATAAGCATTGTGTATTAGAAAAGTCTTGTTTTTGCCCCTATTTGGCCTCTAGTTTCTTAACGATTAAAGCCACAACCCACAAAATCGACCCCAACCTTCTGTGTGTGGTATGGAACCTTGTGGTACAATTTCATAGAGATCCATTGACTAATACTTAAGGATTTGTCTGTTCCTCCCCCCCACCCCTTTTTGCCCCTTATTCCTGAACGAATTGAGCCATAACCCCCAAAGTCAAACCGAACCTTTCCTTTGTGGTATGGAACCTTGTGTTTCAATGTCATAGGGATCAATAGACTAATACTTAAATAATTGTCCATTAACCAGAAAAACCTTGTTTTTCCCCACTTTTTTTGCCCCTTATTCCTGTACAGTTTGGGCCATAACCCCCAAAGTCAATCCCAACCTTCCCTTTGTGGTATGGAACCTTGTGGTACAATTTTATAGAGATCCATTCACTTATACTAAAGTTATTGTCCGGAAACCAGATGTTTTCGGACGACGGCGATAGGATTTATGAACGCAAATTTTTTGCGGTCGTATAAAAACAATTTGACCAAAATGTTAGTCGTGACATGTCCTAACTGGAAAAGTTTGATCCATATGGTATGGTGACATTTCATTGGAGGGCCAATACCCTTGAAATGTCTAAATCAACAAATTAACTAATAAAAACTTTAAACTTTGCAGCTAGCATGGTCTACATACAATTATCTTGTATTTCAACTAGCCAGCTACCCACCTCTACCTGAACTATCTAGGGGGACACAATTAAAAATAAATGTTGATTGTGTCCACATGTGGACACAGACGATGCCCCTGCTCGCATATCATATAGTTATAAAGGGACATAACTGAAGAACGGTAAAAGTGACGCTACCCAATTTTGAACTTGATCTGAGTTTTGTGGTAATAAGCATTGTGTGTAAGTCTCATAACATTTGGTTGAGGCTAACTTAAGTAGAGAACAGAAACTAAAAATTCAGCAATTTTTCTATTTGTAAACACGCATAACTCTAGAACGGTTGTGTACAAGTTTTATAACATTTGGTTGAGGCAAACTTAAGTTAGAGAACGGAAACGAAAAATTCAGCAATTTTTGTGTTTATAAAGGGACATAACCAGGCCTGGGGCCATTACATTGCAATTGAGTTATGTCTCCCTTTATAAACATAAAAATTGCTGAATTTTTTAGTTAGTCTCAACCAAATGTTATAAAACTTATACACAACCGTTCTAGAGTTATGCGTGTTATTATATCCCTTTTAAATCCCTTTATGATGTCTTAATGATTAAGTGATCAATGTTAGAAACAAGATTCTTCCATTACAATTACAATTACATTTTTTCTCACATGTAATGCATTACATTACAATTACTTTGCCTGTGTAATGCATTTCATTACACATTACTTTTTCAATATAAAAACATTTAAAAAACAGATTTTTATAAGAAATTGATAAATATTACCGGGGTATATGTACATATATATACAGTGTTATTGACATAGACTTCAAATACTTGAAAAATAAATAAATTATCATATAATTTTGTTTCTAACATTGATCACTTAATCATTAAGACATCATAAAGGGATTTAAAAGGGATATAATAAATGTGCAATTAAAGGATTATCTTGTTAAATGCCTAAGGGCTCTGTGAGGACAAACATAAGTTGAGAAGATTTGATTGCAATAAAAACATTTTGATATTAATTAGGTAAAATAACAACCACAGTTTGGTGTAAAAATGTTGATTGACATATTCAATCTTTCATTGAAATACATGTAAGGTGGGTATAGAATTAATAAAAAATTTCATCTTCATATTTTGTCCATTCATCTATATAGTTTTGTTTAATAATTATTTTTAGAAGATTTTTTAAGGGCAAACTATCTATAATGATTTAATACAGTAATTAACTGTGATAATAATGTTATTCAATATTTTCTTTTGTTTTTGTTAATATTTTTATTTTACTATATTCTTCAATTTTATGTATTTTACCAATTTGTAATGAAAAGTAATGTACAGTAATGGAGGCATTACATTGATTTTTAACTAAAGTAATCATTACATTACATGTAATTGTAATGCAGAAAATGTGCATTACAAATTACTTTGCATTACATAAAAAAATGTAATATTACAATGCATTACAATTACAAATTACCATTACCCCAGGCCTGGACATAACTCAAGAATGGTAAAAGTGACGCCACCAAATTTCGTACTTAATCTGTATTATGTAGTAATAAGCATTGTGTATAAGTTTCATAACATTTGGTTGAGGCAAACTAAAGTTAGAGAACGGAAACAAAAAAATTGTACATTATCTTAGTTTTGAGGTAATGAATATTGTGTATAGGTTTCATAATGTTTGGTTGGGGCAAACTAAAGTTACAGAATGGAAACTAAAAATTTTGCAATCTTTTGATTTATAAAGGGGCATAACTCAATAATGGTTAAAGTGACACTACCCAAATTCAACTTGATCTGTGTTTTATCAGTGGAAGGCAAAATTAAACATTGCATTGTATAAAGCATTGATTGTAGTTGATTCAACTATAATCATGGACAAAGGAAGATAACTCCAATTTTAAAAATTACTTGAATAATGACATTGATATTTTTAGAAATTACATTTAGTTAAGACAAACTCAAGTTAGAGAACGGAAACGAAAATTCAGCAATTTTTTCATTTGTAAAGGGGCATAACCCTAGAACAGTAATCAAAGTGCTTGTAAGCACTGAATGGTAAAGATTGCTTTAATTTATCAGTAGGAAATAAATTGAATATTGCATTGTATAAAGCATTGGTTGTAGTTGATTCAACTACCATTATGCACAAAGAAAGATAACTCCAATTTTCAAAGAAGACTTTAAAATATTTTTAGAAATGAAGGGTAAAAATTGCTTTAATTTATCAGTGGAAGGCAAAATTAAACATTGCATTGTATAAAGCATTGATTGAAGTTGATTCAACTATAATCATGGACAAAGGAAGATAACTCCAATTTTAATAAACTGCTTCGCTGAGCGCAGCTGGATACGCCCGCAGAGGTCCAACCCTGAACAGTTGGGGCAAAAATGGACACAATATTCAAGCTTGATACAGGTCTGAATTTGGATTGTAATTAAATATTTGACATATTATAGGTTTCTGGATAAATGTAGTCAAAGAACATGAAATTGGTTATATGAATTGAATTTATATTCAATTAAAGATTTCTTGCTGTTGTGCAATACACTATGCTGTTGCCCAATACTTAGTAAATCTGTTGTCAGACTATAAACAAATAAAATTTATAAAATTCTAAAGGGAGCTTACATCAATAGATATAATCAATTCACCAAAGTTTCATAAGAATTGCTGAAGGCATTTTTGAGTTATTGTCTGAAAACTGGAAAATCCCCCCTTTTTTAATGAATAAAACCCCATTACTCGGAAATGTAAAATCTAAAATTTATAAAATTCTAAAGGGAGCTTACATCAATAGATATCAACAATTCATCAAAGTTTCATGAGAACTGCTGAAAGCATTTTTAAGTTATTGTCCGAAAACTGGAAAATCCCCCTTTTTTTTATGAATAAGACCCCGTAACTTAGAAACGTAAAATCTAAAATTTATAAAAATCAAAAGGGAGCTCATGTCAATAGATATAAACAATTAACCAAAATTTCTTGCAAGTTGGTGAAAGCATTCTTGAGTTATTGTCCGAAAACTGGAAAATCCCCCTTTTTTTAATGAATAAAACCCCATAACTCGGAAACGTAAAATCTAAAATTGATAAAAAACGAAAGGGAGCTCACGTCAATAGATATAAACAATTCACCAAAGTTTTATGCAAGTTGGTTAAAGCGTTTTTGAGTTAATGTCCGACATGTTGACGACGGACGGACAGACGGACAGACAGGCAACGGTATACCATAATACGCCCCATAAACGGGCGTATAAAAATGACTTGATATTTAGAAAAAAAAAAAAAAAAAAATTTAGCAATTTTTCCATTTGTAAAGGAGCATAACTCTAGAACGGTAAAAGTGACACCACCAAAATTCAAACTTGATCTGTATTTAGTGGTAATAAGCATTGCGTATAAGTTTCATATTATTTGGTTGAGGCAAACTAAAGTTAGAGAACGGAAACCAACTTTGGGACGTAAGGATGGACGGATGGAGGGACGTACAGACGGACAAGGGTAAACCTCCGCTACGGCGGGGGCATAAAAAATAGTAATTACCTTCAGCCCAGTAAATTTAACTGTACAACTGCAATCCAGTTTAAGCACATACTTTGTACATCTAAAATAGAATTTCAATGTGTATATTTTCTGAAAATAACCAATAAATGTTTTGTTACATTACCATGATTACTATAACAACAGAATTAATTTTTACCAGAAATGTTTGTGCATACAATGAATGAAGACTCATTGTAAGCAATTACACATCAGTTAACCTGTAAATGAATAAGAAAACATATTCCAGGAAACACTATAAATATAAGTGCGGTTCACTTGACATCCTGACCTGGACTAAGAAATTCAATTCAATACTACATAAAAATCCCTCCAGAGTTTGTAAATAGTAGTGAAATCCTACAATGAAGCTTCTAAACATGCATTAAAATACAAATCTGTGCTCCCGTAATAACTGTTGAAATATGTACATTTTTTGAAAATAATTGACACAGATACTCTACACATAAATGTAAAACAAAAGGGATGATTTTTCGTTCTCTTTTGTTAATTTTCAAACAGTGATGTTCATTTTGCACCATCTTACGGTGTTAATTTATCCCAAATTATTCTCTATCCCCGTGTCTGTAGTGAGGTTTTGGATTTCAATTAATGTATTTCTGGTAAATTATTAAGTCAAGGATTTTGTTAACACAAATTCTTTCATAAATACAAGGATCTGGTTTGGAAGTTTGGCTGTACCTGTAGAAAACTTATTACAAACGGGATAGCTCATCCTAATTTTACAGTGATGTTGTTTACCAAGCCTGTAAATTTAGATCCGGGATTGATCTTTTGAATAAACTAATTCTAAAGGGTTACCAATTCAAAACTGTTGTTAGATCTTCAAATATTGTTTTTATCAGTATAAATATTGATTTAGTTATCAATAAATTAAAACCTAACTGAATACCCCCATTATTATCGTTAAATACATATGTACATTCCCTGTCCTACAATCTGTCAATACCTATATTTGTGACATTGCACAAGGTCACGTTTTTCTCAGGCTGTTAATGACATCTTTAAGCTAAATCCTTTGGATGTTGGATGTGTGCTGATTGATATTTTAGTCTTTGACACATGATTTTTTTGTTTTGGGCTTTGAACTAACTTTCAGTAACTGCGAGTACTCTCAGATCTGTACTATGTGTCTTTTGTGTGTTTGTTAAGTTTTTGTGCTTTGTATCAACCTGATGAATTAAGCTCTTTTCAACTGATTTTTATAGTTTTGTTATATTCTACTGTTACACCACTGTGTCCCATGTAAAAGGGAGGGTTTGGCTCAAGCAAACATGTTCAACCCCTCTACATTCTGTATCGGTATGTCCCTGTGCGCAGGTGGTTGATGTTTGTTGCTGTATATCATATATGTTTTTCCTTTATTGTATTGTACATAAATCAGGCAGTTAGTTTTTTTGTTTGAATTGTTTAATATTTGTCATTTTAAAGCCTTTTATAGCTTACTATGCTGTATGGGTTTTGCTCATTGTTGAAGGCCGTACAGTGAGCTATAGTTGTTAACTTCTACATCGTTTCATCACTGGTTGAGAGTTGTCTCTTTGCCAATCATACCACATCTTTTAATTTCTATATAGCTCATGATCTCTGATCAGACTAAATAAAATCAATAGTTAAGGTAGCTGTCAATACACATGTTGTCTGTTCAAGGTCCACCTAATAAAATGCTGAACAGTTGCGGCAAGTATGGACACTTCATTCAAGCTTGATACAGCTCTGAGTTTGGCTTGTGATTAAATATTTGACATAGCATAGGTTTCTGATACAGAATGAATGTGGTTCAAGAACTTTAAAATTTGAAATTGGATATTTACCTATTATGGTCCAATATCCAAAATCTGAATACATGGTTAGATTCAGCATATCAAAGAACCCCTGGAAATCAATATTTGATGAAATCAAACAAGCTTGGACCCTTTGGACCTCAATGTGGACCAATTTGATAACGGGGCCCAAAATCCAAAATCTAAATACACAATTAGATTTAGCATATCAAAGAACCCCTGATATTCAATTTTTGTTGAAATCAAACAAAGTTTAATTTTTGACCTGATTTGGACCATTTTGAAAACTGGGCCCAAAATCAAAAATCTTAGTACATGTTTAGATTCAGCATATCAAAGAACCTCTGGATTTCAATTTTTTTTATAATCAAACTAAGTTTAATTTTGGACCCTTTGGACCTTAACGTGGACCAATTTGAAAACCAGGCCCAAAATCAAAAATCTAAGTACAGGGTTAGATTCAGCCTTTCAAAGAACCCAGATAATTTAATTTTAGATGCAATCAAACAAAGTTAATTTTGGACCTTTTGGACCTCAATGTGGACCAATTTAAAAACTAGGCCCAAAAACTAAAATTTAAATACACAGTTAGATTCAGCATATTAAAGAACACCAAGAATGCAAGACTTTGATTAATAAACCCCATTGAAATTGGTAAAAAAATAAGCAATTTATACAAAGTATTAGAAAAGTATTGTTTTTGGCCCCTTTTTCATAAACGGTTAGGGCCATAACCCCCACAATCAATCCAAACCTTCCTTTTTTGGTATGGAACCATGTGGTACAATTTCATAGAGATCCATAGACTTATTTATACTCAAGATATTGTCAGGAAACCAGAAAATCATAGTTTTTGTGCCCCTTGTTCCTAAACAGTTTTGGTTATAACCCCCAAAATCAATCCCAAACCTTCCTTTTGAGGTATGGAACCTTGTGGTACAATTTCATAGAGATCCATACACTTATACACAAGTTATTGTCCTGAAAGAAACAAGAGGCTCTCAAGAGCCTGAATCGCTCACCTGTATTTCAGAGGAGAAGATTTTTAAATGTTAGCAAACTTGATGAACAAATTGTGTAAAATTGTCTTTAAAGGGCAATAACTCCTTAAGGGGTCAATTGACAATTTTGGTCATATTAACTTTTTTGTAGATCTTACTTTGCTGAACATTATTGCTGCTTACAGTTTATATATATCTATAATAATATTCAAAAAAATAACAAATAAAATGCTCCGCTGGGCGCAGCTTGATACGACCACAGAGGTCGAACCCTGAACAGTTGGGGCAAGAATGGACACAACATTCAAGCTTGATACAGCACTGAATTTGGATTGTGATTAAATATTTGACACAGCATAGGTTTCTGACACAGAATGAATGTGATCTAAGAACTTGAAATTTTTTAATTTACCTATTCAAACCATATCATTATTATTTGCTTTTATATATAAATCAGAAATAACCAATTTAAAATGGAAAATTTTAAAGAAAAAAAAAGGAAAAAAATATCCCTCCCCAAATTTTTTTAAACCCCCTTATGATTATGGTTTTTAGGCCCCTTTTTGGCCCCAAATTCCTAAACATTTAGGGCAATTACCCCCAAAATCAAACCCAGCTTCGTGATATGGAACCTTGTAGTACAATTTCAGAGAGATCCATACACTTACACACAAGTTATTGTTCTGAAACTAGAACGGTTCTATAAAAATGCTTGTTTTTTGCCCCTTTTTGGCCCCTAATTTCAAAAATTTTTAGGCAATTACCCCCAAAATCAATCCCAGCCTTCCCTTTGTGGTATGGTGCCTTGCAGTACAATTTCAGAGAGATCCATAAAATCGAACACAAGTTATTGTCTGGAAACTAGAATAAAATGCTCCGCAGGGCGCAGCTTGATACGACCGCAGAGGTCGAACCCTGAACAGTTGGGGCAAGTATGAACACAACATTCAAGCTTGATACAGCTCTGAATTTGGATTGTGATTAAATATTTGACACAACATAGGTTTCTGACACAGAATAAATGTGGTCTAAGAACTTAATAATTTTAAATTGGACATTCACCTATTATGGTCTAATATCCAAAATTTAAATACATGGTTAGATTCAGCATATCAAAGAACCCCAAGAATTCAATTTTTGATGAAATCAAACAAAGTTTAATTTTGGACCCTTTTGACCTCAATGTGGACAAAGTTGATAACGGGGCCAAAAAAATCAAAAATCTAAATACATGGTTAGATTCAGCATATCAAAGAACCCCATATATTCAATTTTTGTTGAAATCAAACAAAGTTTAATTTTGGACCCCGATTTGGACCAACTTGAAAACTGGGCCCATAATCAAAAATCTAAATACATGTTTAGATTCAGCATATCAAAGAACCCTAAGAATTCAATTTTTGTTAAAATCAAACTAAGTTTAATTTTGGACCCTTTGGACCTTAATGTAGACCAATTTGAAAACGGTACAAAAAATTAAGAATCTAAATACACGGTTAGATTCGGCATATCAAAGAACCCCAATAATTCAATTTTTGATGAAATCAAACAAAGTTTAATTTTGGACCCTTTGGACCTCAATGTGGACCAATTTAAAAACGGGGCCCAAAATCCAAAAACTTAATACACGGTTAGATTCAGCATATTAAAGAACCCCAAGAATTCAAGAATAAAACCCCATTGAAATTGGTCAAGAAATAAGCAATTTATACGAAGTATCTTCTTTTGCACAATACTGTGCAATTGAATATTTCTTGCTATTGCGCAATACTGTACAATTGACAATTTCTTGCTATTAAGCAAAATATTGTGCTATTGGATATTTCTTGCTATTGCGCAATACTGTGCAATTGATGATTTCTTGCTATTGTGCAATACTGTGCAATTGAAGATTTCTTGTTATTGTGCAATACTGTGCAATTGAAAATTTCTTGCTATTGCACAATACTTATTAAATAATAATTTACACATCCTGTTTGGTGTGTATCTCCTGCCATATCATTATTATTTGCTTTTAAATATAAATCAGAAATAACCAACTTAAAATGGAAAATTTTAAAAGAAAAAAAAAAGGAAAAAAAAATCCCTCCCCGAAATTTTTTGAAACCCCCTTCTGATTCATTACCCCCAAACTCAATCCCAGCCTTCCCTTTGTGGTATGGTACATTGCAGTACAATTTCAGAGAGATCCATACACTTGAACACAGTTATTGTCTGGAAACTAGAAAAATGCTTGTTTTTAGGCCCCTTTTTGGCCC